CCGGCACGGCAGCACCACGTCCGTCTTCCACGCCGCCACCACCGTCTTCGGGAAGGACACGATGGCGGCCGGCACTGCGGGCGGCGGAACCGGGGGAGTGCGTGGGGGCAGAGAAAGAACGCGGTCGATTTCACAATATTAGCGGGGAAGAAGTCAATTACTTTAATTTCAGAGAGATATTTGAGCACTGAGTCAGTGACGTAACGTTCGGACCCGCACGGTCATCAATGTAGGTGGGCCCAGATAAAAGAGGGCCTATGTTTAGGAAATATTTTTATTATTTAAGGCACTAACGCTACTTGCATTTGCTATACACTTTTATTTAGGGGGGCCGGATAAACGTTTTGCGGGTGTTCCCGCACTCATTTCGTTTCTTTACTGCACTGACTAGATGTAATACTATAAGGAAAGTAAAATTATCTCGTTTTATTGGATCCGAGACTGAGCTAGATAGCTTAAAAATCTTGCAAAATTGGGTAGGTGAACAAAATGTAAATTTAATGACGAAAAAAAATAAAGCGTACAATTAGGTCTAGATTTCAGAACTGAGGAATGATTTCTATATTAAATAAAATATTGAGTGGTAAAATAGTAAAAAAAATACTTGTGCTGACGTAATATTTGAAGGTTTATACACTTTTAAAAAATATTATCTACAACACCCATATTCCAAATATCTATTTTCCATCAATGTAAAAATCATAATAAACTCAGTGAAACCAAATTCCATCATCTATTTTCTGCAAACGTGTACAATTAAAGTAGTTCAGAAAATACTTCAGAATAATCTATTTTGCTAACTAACTCGCTTGTAAAAAGTATAAATTCTTAATAGAAATGCTGAGGAATAACATGAAAGCAATCGTCTTTAAAAATCATGAAATTTAACGTGTTGTATCATTGGTTAACTACTACTTTAATTGTATTGTTTATGTACATTTAAGGGTGTACTTAAAAATGTCAATTTTCAATACTTCTTAAATTATTAAATGATTACTTGCCACAAAACATATTACAAATAAAGTAGATAAATTTTTGATAGGCAATGTTGGTAATGAAAATACTTATTATACCATTATCAATATAAAAAAATTAAGTAATTGTATGAGTCGTCATTGTCAAATATATTTTTTTTTATTTCAATAGCAGTTTTTGATGGCTTAGCCATCATCTGCTGTATGGAAAAAAAAACAAAAAAAAAACGACTACGTTTATGACTACCAATAAAAACAATGTCGTAACTTTTACGTTCATGATATCTGGCTAAGAAACAATTACAGCAATGAATATGAGATGGTATAAGCAAGACTGGGACACAAAATTATGTTCGCGGGATATAAAACAACTTATAGAATAGGATACGATAGTAACTCGTTATTTACTGAAGGTGCATTACTTAGTGGAGTGTGTCGCAAATTCTTCCAGGTTGTACGAAATAGCACAGTCAGAGGCATGGCGAAATAGCACAGGAGAAACAAAAAAATATTTCCTTATGACTAAAAGTTCAAAAATTGCTTCAATTTTACATTACATACAGTTGAGACAAATAATATGTTAATTTTATGTATAGTATTCATTTATGTATAGTATGTTAATAGTATGTCAATAAAAAAGCCTCTGTAACCGAATGTATTTTAATTAAGAGTTATGATTTGTTATCTCTAATAAATAGTTAGAGAAAAGTATTGCTTAATTTTTTGATAATAATCTTCTAATAATAAACTTTATTCACTGGCATTAACTCAAATATAATTTATTCAATGAGGCTCGAATACATTTTTCTTCCTCCAATTAATTTTAATACTCGTTCCAATTGCTTAATTACGAGTATTAGCAAACAAAGTACCTGTTCACTATTAATGTGAGGCATTCTTCTAAAATATATTTGGATTTATAATACAATAAAAAAGTATAATACAATAAACCGTTGAAGGTTCTGTGTAGTACATTGCATTTGCGTACAGAACATTTACAGCTGAGCATCTCACCTCTGGCACTGGGCGTGAGGTCCACGACGGTGGAGCTGGGTCCCTCGCCGACCTGCGTCTCCGCACTCACCCACCACATGTAAGTGGCCTGCTCGCTGAGGGGCCGCGCCTCGAACTCGGTGGCGGAGGCGTTGACGGCGTGGCGCGCGGGCTCGCGCTCGCGCTCCGACCCGCCGCCCCCGCCGCCTCCGCCACCGTCCCCGCGCCGCACCTCGCGCTGGTACACGTGGTAGCGCAGCAGAACGCCGTTGGGCTGCGCGGGCGGCAGCCACACCACCAGCGCCGAGCGAGGAGATGACAACGCCGCGCGCACGGCGGCGGGCGGTCCTGGAACTACGCATACGTCGCCGCGAACGGTTAAAATGGCGACGTTGGGTAACAGGTGGCGCGCGCGGCGCCCCGTGGCGCGGCGCAGCCGCGTGGTGAAGTGCCGCGGTGGGGAGGGAGCGGCGAATAGCGGGAAATGGAGTTTCCGAGTAGGGCCCCTTCATGCGCGCTTATTTGGCACATGGGTACACGACAGGCGATATATGGCCTGTTCTACAAGCTGGACATACGATGTAGCAGAGTGCGCTGTGGATTGAAAACGGGCGATCCGTTGCAACGGCGATGTGTTTGGAGAACGCTACAATGGAGATAAAACATTTCTGATTTTCAGCATTATAAAATTTAATTGGTTGAAAGCTTTTGGTTATTTTATGCCCACAGTTGTTAGTTGTACATTGTTGCTTGTTTAGGTTTTACTTTAATGGTAAAAGTAATTATAAATATTTCACTATGCATAAAACGGATGATTAAGTGATTCAATATTTGAACGAGTGGAACGCTGTCACACGAAATGCAACCCGCTACACATTGCCGTGCGACTGAAGGAATGCAACCCGCTTCATACTGCCGTATTATTTGAATTAAGGTTGCCTAATTGATAGGCGCCACAGGTTCTAAAGTTAATGAAATTAATGTAAGCTAAAGTTCATGGAATACCATAAACAATGTTACAGACGTTTTGTGATATTAAGAAGAGTGGATACCATCGACAATTCAAGGCCAATATCTTGAAACCGTCAGAGAAAGAAAATAAATTGTAAGATCAATACGCTTAAAATAGAATTGAATTTTTCGTTCTATTTATTGAACAGGGCTGCTTGATTCTCAGGTATTACATTCGTCTTCAACAATTAAATATTTAGGACTCTGAAGGAACAATATATACAATTTTCAGAAAAAAGATTGGAATATTACAGTTAAACCGTTCCAATGTCAATGACAAGCATCGCCGGAGCGCTAGCTCTTTTATGTTACATATTCCAGAATATAGAGAAATTGTTTTCTACAAGAAATACTAATCAATAGATTACATCATATATTCAAAATTAATTTAATTTTAATAAATATTTTGTGGTAGGTATGTATTTACGGATATGTATTTAAGGTTACAAGTATAGTATTTTGTGATAATAAATTATTATTATTATTATTATTATTATTATTATTATTATTATTATTATTATTATTATTATTATTATTATTATAATTATTATTATTATTAATATATAGATAAGGAGAACCTGCAGATGGTTTCTATCAATGTAAGTTATATCGGGTTTATTGCCGCCGACGTGTCTGTCAGTGATAATGGAGCGATCCCAGTAGAGTGTGTGCTCACTACTTTCAAGCACGTTCTGAGGCACATATTTATAATACGGCACGGAAGTGGCGAGTTAGCCCGTTTTCGTTGCCAATAATTGGTGGATAATAATTGGTGGTGTTAGTTTCGTTTGCGGCCTCACATCTTCTACGAGTCGGAATGGATAGTATCTCTCAGAATGTGTTTTCTATAGTTCAAAGTTGGCACCACTTGGACAACTATCATGAAAACTTCTGTCTCCGGAAAGAGATTCCCGTGCTGGAGCCATGCGTGTGACGCAGCAATGTCGACTTCTGGTTTACTCAGCTTATGGGGGTACCTTTCGTGCAGTGCCTTCGCTGTTCATGAGGTTATTTTCTCTTCTGTTTCAGTGATTGGCTGAACAGGCGGATCAAGCTTTTTCACGTTCAGAGGACTATATATATTATCAACTGCGCTCACTGCTTGCTGAAATCTCCCACAATGTTCCAGGAAGTATCTTCTGAGTGATGCAATTTGAGAGCTGTGTAGATTTCTGAGATCTACAACACATCGCCCTCCTTGTGATCTTGGAAGGGTAAAACGCTCAATACTTGAATGGGGATGATGTTTTCGGAGTTGAGTCATAGTCACTCGAATTGCCCTCTAGAGGTTGTCGAGGTCGGTATTGCTCCATTTAATAACACCAAAGGAGTATGTCAGCACTGGAATAACAAATTAATTGATGGCCTGCACAAGGGTTGTAGCAGCGTTGAGTTTTTAAGAGTCCATGCAATCGTTTGCACACTTCAGTTGTTAGTATGTTCTTAGTAACAATGCGTTTGATTCGGAGTGACTGTAGGAAACCCAAGTATTTGTAAGTTAATGGGGTTTCATGAAATTTCATGAAGGTAATCTTTGGTTCATTATCATTTTCCAAATTTATATCTTACATATGACCCCGAATGATATTCACTCTCTTGCACTGAAAATCCAAACCGAATTTCATCTTGATGTCGTCAGTGAACTTCTCCGCCACTCTTATCAGTTGCCGCATATGACTCTCAGTGTCTGCATAGAGCTTCAGGTCATCCATGTAAAGAAGATGCGAGACACGAAGAGTTGAGTTCCATTTTTAAGAGCTATGTCATAATTAGTTGAATTTAGTGGAGTAGACAGGGGATTCAAGGCTAAGCAGAACAATAAAGGGCTTAAAGAGTCACCCTGGAAAATCCCTCGGCGGATGTGTATAGTACCTGTGTGGGCGGATTGTTTTCCATTAGAGAGATACAGTTTTGTATTCCATCTACACATCCTGGTTTTCAGGACGTTTTGGATAAAAGAATGGACCATGTTCACATCCAAACATTGAAGGAGCCAAAAATGGGTCACGGTGTCGAATGCTTTAGCATAAACTATGTAGCATGCGTACAAGTTTCTTTGCTCTTCAAGCACTTGCCCAATAATTACAGTCTATAATGAGTTGCTCCTTGCATCCCTGAAATCCAGGTCTATACCCTTTCTGTTCATTCACTAAGATGTTCTGTTCCTCAATGCGTATCATAATCATTTGTGTAACCCAAGCTGTTATGAGTTCCTAGAAAATTGAAAGGCAGGTTATAAGCCTGTACATTGAGGAGTTTTTAGTGTTACTCTCCTTCGGTAACAAGAACGTTCTACCTTCAGTGAGGAAGTAAGGCAGATATTCTGGGTTGTGAAAAAAGATTGAATTATATTAGCTATATGATAGTGAGTGCTGCTAAATGTTTTGAGCCAATAATTGTACAGGCCATCACTGCCCGGTGCCTTCCAGTTATGCGCTTTGTTCGAAGCTGCTTGGACAACTTCCACGGTGATGATTGGTTCGCCCATTAGAGGGATATCTCGGTGTCTACCATATTCCATCTCAATCCACGTCATATCTGAGATGTGGGACACAGCAGATGTCCAGATAAGTTTCCGAAAGTCCTCTATCTGTGCCTTTGAGGGAAGCTTTGACTCTTTCATATCACTTACAAGCCCTTTGCCCTTTGAATGATTCCTGCAGAATGCTTTCTGGTTCCTGTTAAAAAGAGTATTCTGTTGCTTCCTCATAGTGCTATTTCTGTAGCGTCGAAGGCGTTTTGTTGACGTCAAAAGCTTTTGTCGTATGGTGTGAAGATGTTATTGTTGAATTCAAGAGCTCGTGCTTCGTATGTAGTTTTGGATTGATAAGGATGTTATTCACTTTTCTTCTCGGTTTTTCTTGAGGTATTTCCTTTTTGAAATTATGTAAGTCTCCCTTATTATTATTATTATTATTATTATTATTATTATTATTATTATTATTATATTATTATATTATTATTATTATATTATTATTATTATTATTATTATTATTATTATTATTATTATTATTATTATTATTATTATTATTATTATTATTATTATTATTATATTATTATTATTATTATATTCAGCGTCATCTACATTTGTGATATTGAGTCTATTCATTCACGTGGATAAAAATAATGGTCACAGTCTGCTGTTCATTTACCCATGTATATGGGTAAACCCATGTAAATGGGAGCGCATATTTCTCTGTATTATTTTTTTTCAAATACCTTTGTTGCTACCTTTATTCATGATTCAAATTAATGTAGTAAATTAGAGGGGTGCGGGTTCCGGGAACCACAAGAAGTCCACAGAGTACTTCTTTCTCACGCGTCACACACTTTTGAACTGTTTTTGACGTTAAGTAACTAAATAAATAGTTGATATTTATTTATAAATTTACGTATTCAAATTGGTATGACACGTTCAAAGAAACACCCTGTAGTTAGAACATTACCATCCTCCTTAGGATTGTTTTAATTGGTAGGAAATGCAACATTTCAGTCAAAGTGATTAACACCAGTACACAAACACCGACATTATTTAAATTTAAATTTAATTTGCATATCACTTTCCATAATAGAGATGAACGCAGAAAAATAGCTTCACGTTCAGAGTACTGCAACTCGCAATGCCTTTCACAACGCGATTGCAATTTTAAAATACTGAGCACGGAAACTAACTTGATAAGATTTATATACAGTTTACGGAAGATAAAATGTGATGTGTGCTTTGCAGTGAACGGAGAACACGAGGCGAAAGATATCGTGGGGGTTCGTTTTGGCTTTTAAGGTGGGAAGCGCGGAGAGAGCGAGAGGCGTGCGGCGGGCGGCGCAGGGCGGGGGCGTCGGGGGCGGGGCGGGGGGCGAGACGGTATGGCGAATCTGGATGGATGGCGGGCGGAGGAGGGGGCGAGTGAAGGCCAGAGACCGTTGGCGATGAATGAGGGGAGGGCGACGTGCCGCGACGGAATAAAAAAGGAAGGGACGAGACACCGGATCGGCGCAGCGGTGTCGTACGTAAATTGCAGGCAGTGAAAGAGACTCGCTAATACATACGCACGAAACAATTTAAAGTTAATTCCAAATGCTACAGTTATTGTTATTTTCTATATATCAAATGAAAGTAAGAGGAAATGCGAACTAGTAGGTAGGAGAGAATTCTATTTTCAATCCAGCAATTTGAGGTTTCAGTAGAGAGGTTGACGTTTTAAACTAAAATATGCTTCGAAATAGTAGTTCTCACACGATTACGATCTCACTTTTTATACTCCGAAACATGGTGGACATTTTATGGCGTATAAGCAGTAATGTTTCATAGAACAATTTGGAAGACCAGTGAACTGTATTTTACAAATCCTGAAGATTTTAACCAATATTCCTCTATGCGACTTCGGGAATCTTGTGTGTAACTTGCGAGCAGTGCTACTTACTGGTTTATAATAGTTTACATCTGAAAATTAATAACGATTATTAATAACGATACGCGTATCCGGTAAATTAAACG